GGCCGCGGGCCGCCCTTTGTGGCCGGCCCGCGGGCCGCATTTCAGGATAAGCAGCTTATCCTGAAACGCACAAGCTACCCCAAACGGACCCATAGACTGCACTCTAAAAGCTTTAGGGTTTGTTTGGGCTGTTGCAGATTATTTATAATCTGCTTATTTGTAAATTATCCTAACAATCTGATAATCTGCAGATTGTTTTGATAAGCTGGCTGGTTGTTTGGGAGAGCTTAGTCAAAACAGTTTATTTGCAGTTGCTTCTGAATAAATGATTATTATGCCCCTGTTAAGTAATGCTCTTTGCAAAAAAACTGTTTGGGCATGATAATTGATAAAATAGAAGCCGCAAACCATTACAAATCAGTTTAAAAATAAAATAGAGTCCTCACTTACGCGTGAGTATCAAAAGTAATAAAATAAAGAGAACCTAAACACCACAAAGCTAGGAAAGCTCACCCAAGCCAACCTAAACGCTACTCACAGTCAGTAAACACAAGCACTCCTCACATCCACCACAAAATCAAGAGAGCACACCCAAGCCACCATTAACACCACATATAAGAAAAACCTCATATCCACCACCAAACCCACACAGATAAAGCCAGGAGTGCGCGCCCAAGCCAACCTGAACACCACTCACAGTCACTAAACATAAGTACTCCTCACATCCACCACAAAAACCACACACCCAAAGCTAGGAGAGCACACCCAAGCCACCATTAATTGACCCCACTGCATAAGAATATAAGCCAAGTGTATTACCAATGCCTTCAATAACATATAAGTTCACTTAAATATTCTAAAGCATGGCCTTTTCTTCTATGGTTAAGATTTCCTAGGAATTCCCTCTACTACGCATGGAAACTCATATTACATATGGGCAATATAAATCAAGAGGCATCTATGAGCAGTAACACAACCAGTGCAGTAGTGCACTAACAAATAATACAGTATTGAATGCAACAGAGCTGCAATCACCATTCTAATCATGCCAAGTTAAAAGAACCTCAAAATTCAACAAGTATTTTGAAATCAAAAGCAGCAACGGGTTGTATAAATTTTAGATCATTTTAACATTCTCTTGCACATGCCACATAAGCATGGCATTTCTAATTGTTATAGCAAAAAAAATAACTGAAAGGCTCAAGCATTTCTCATGTCCAATAACAAATGCCAAAGCCACCTGAGAAATTAAGGCCAAAGCCCCTACACACACAGAAACCACACCCAATTGCCACATCCAATAACACACACAAAGAAACGAAGGCTAAAGCCACCGGAAAAAGCAAGCCCAACTGCCCCATCCACCAACACATACAGAGAAACCAAAACCAAGTTGCCTTATCTGCCAACACACACATAGAAAGTTCTCACAAAGAGGCAAATTCCACAGTGGTACCTCTCACAGATAAATCCATCACTTTTCAAAATACAACACCAAAAATTTCTCACATGAAAGGAGAAAAGCAAATTCCAAATTCGAAAAGGCTCTAGATGAAAAATCACCACAACAGAACACCACAAATAAGCGTAGAAGCATAAATATTGGATAAATAACCTTAATATGAAAGTTATTCCTTCAAATAGAGCACCACAAACTTCTCACATCAAAGAAGAAGGGGAGATTTCAAACCTGAAAAGCCTCTAGATCAAAATTCACCAAAACAAAGGTGACAAGGTAACTTACAGAGCACCACAAGCACAGATTGGAGAAAAGAAAAGGAGGATAAAGGCAGAAGTCGAGAGAAAGGAGGTGAATCGACGAAAGTTAGGGCTTCGACACAATCAAAAGAAGAAGGACAATAGGAATAATAAGCAGTCACTGCACGCGAGACACAACCCCTCTACCGCGTCCGTGTATGATAGTAAACTGCGAGTGGTGTTCTCTCCCAAATGCACCCTTAATAATAGTTAATGGAGCAAAAAATAGTAAGAATAACTATAAAAAAATGGATTATAAAAGAATACAACAAAAAAATATTTTATAATACAACAAATTATAAGATAGATACAACAAAGTTTAGAACAATAGCTATAATACTTTAAAATGACAACATGATTGCATAGTCAATGAGTAGCATTTTTTCAAAAATAATATTTAATCTAAACACTAACAATTTTCTTACGATAATAAGGAGAGTCAACATATGCATCTAACCATTGCTCATGTGCATAAACCTTTGAATATATGATATAATAATTGACAACGAAGTCTCGAATTGTAGCAAACATATGTACACATAAAATGCTCATAACATTATACTTTCTGCTTGTATGTTTTGGTTCCCACATATTAATTCACTGTTAAGATTACCATCAATAACATGGAGTTCAAATTTATTGATTGCATACCATAAAAAATTTACCCTTAATCATTAGATTCATCAATTCTTTACTATTTCTTTGACAGATTATTTTTAATTTATGCAATGTTACATATATAAAAAATGTGTCTACATTTCATATCTAAAAAACTCTAATAAAATAATCCTTAAATAAGAGTGTGCACTCTTAGTAATCTTACTAAAGCTCATTGAAATATCTTCTATCATTAAACTATTTTAAATTTCATGAAAGAAAGAATGAGACAATCACTTAAAGCCACCTTTATTCTCTAGATAAACAGTTATGGTTGTTCTTGGCACTTCTTCTATTGAAGTGTCTATAAAATTTACTTATTTTCCATAATACTTGGAAGTAAAGTAATATTTCTCATAACAACTATTGATTTTGAATTTTACCATGATTTATTATGGAATGATGAGTATAAGATCTAAAATATGCATTTAAATTAATGAATATTGATGATATTATTATTTTTATAAAAAACAAGTAGCAATTATTTTTCAACGTGTACATTAAATTTATCAATTAATTCATAAAATACATCCAAGCCACATTATCTTTTGAATCGTCTATCTTATGGTTTGATTGGTAAGATTTTCTTATAAAGTGTAAACCCATGACGAAGGAAGATGAGGATGTGAAAATATGACCAAAAGCCAAATTGATGTGCCATTCAAGAGTTCAATAGAGCTAGTGCAGAGTAGAAAGGAGGATTTGTTTGAGAGAGGTTTTTATAGTGTATGGCTACATGAACACTAAGGAATGATTTTAGTGCAAAGAGTCTAATTGAGAGCCATTAGAAGCCAATTGTTATATAAACCAATCTTCAACCTTGTTTGGCGGGATAATAATGGCAAAAGTAAAAAATTAGCAGCTCCCCTTGGATGGGGATAAGCATTAAGGGATGACATAACCATTAGGTATGTTCCCAAATTAACTGTTAGCATATGAAGGCCATTAGAGTTAAAACAGGTAGTGTCCGTGGTGGCAATTGATGGCCACTAAAATCTTAAGGCCACCCAAGAGTCATTTAAAGGGCTATGATACTTAGACAAATGCTTAAATCAAATAGCTTTGTTTTGTGGTACCCTTGTGTGTCTTAAGATTTAAATTAGATATATTTTCTTTGCTTGAGTTGGGTCTATTCTATGTTCAGATCAACCCAATAGAATCATTTAGGATTATTTTTTATCCCAATTTAAAAAATTCAAACTTGTTTTTTAATAAAATAGAAATTATAATAAAAAATAGCAAAATTAATAAATAAATTACATTCACATCTTAGAAATATCGTTTCATTTAAATAATAAAACACTATAAAATAAAAATGACTAGATATCTCTGAATTTATGATTAGACATAAAAATATTAGCCTTAGACATGTGCATAGATATTGATTTTATTGCTTAACTTTAGGCTCTAACTCATTGCATAAAAATGTATAATTTGTTCCATAAGGATCACCGTATTATAGAGCAAGTTTGCCTCTACATACTTTAGTTGGCCTTTAAATTAATTTTCCATGCATGCATCATTAAATATTGCACACCATACCAGTTTATTTATCACTCAGCATTAAAACATGAGCAACTAAAATTCTTAATTTTAAATATAATAATAATAAATTATATATTTTTAATTAAAAAATTTATTTTTTTTAGTATTAAGAAATTTACATACCATTCATACTTGAGGGATATTGATTTTTATAATCAAATTATATGACATACTTCTCTTGAACAACTAAGAACAAATCCTATTCTAGATTTCATAAGATCAGTCATGTATGGTTTTACGATGTTAGGTGGTTTAACTAGCAGCCCTATTCAGGTAGGGTTGTGAGTCCAGTCAAGTCGGGCCTGGTCAAACTTTTATGGGATTGTAATATAAGTCTTTATTAGTTGCATTTTCTCAATAAACTAGGTTTCAAGATCTTACTCATTTAGTAGATCTCAACTTTAGTCTTAGGATTCTGAGTTGTTTATTTATTTACGACATAAATCAACACTTCATAGGCTTTCCTACTATGGTATATTGTGAGA